ATGACAGAGAGAACCTTTCTCTACATTTTTATGCCAGGCACGCTCCTGTATACTGTATACTGTATAGTTTTCTTTTGTAATAGGTGAAATACGAACATACTGCATTGCAGCCAACTTGCCCCGATAGTAGGGTAAGTTGGCTATGCGACAAAAGTCCATGTTAAATTAATAAAAACGTAATAAAAACACAAAACGGGTAACAGATATGTACTTCTTGATAAAGATTGTATCTTTTAAAGTTATTTTGTAATAATCAAATAGCAAAATGCTGTTGCAGAAAAACAATTGTAAACTATTTTAGATACAACTTTCTTCAATATAAAACAATATACCCCATCCTTATAACATACGTTTGATTTCGGTCATTTATTTATTACAATAAATTACTACTCAAAATAACATGTCGTATTCATGTCGGTCAATATAATTCCTATTTAGTAACAGAAACTTTTCTTTTAACTATAATAATACGTCACTTCTCTCTTCTCAAACTGAAGAACATTAATACGATATTTTGAAACGCTCGAAAACCTACCCCGCCATAATCATAAAATTCATAAAAATCAACCGTTTAGATGCTATCATTGTTTAAAATCAAAATAAGATGTTATCTCAATACCATTGTGGGATAGTGGATTTCGGTGAAATTGGCTGAAACTTTGGAAATAGATAATTTATGTGATGCTGATCAAAAGTCATAAGCATGATCCCAAAAAATCAACCTTTTGGCCTCCATGAGCCGTTGCCCTTAAGGCTCCTGGGTAGTCACCGCGGCCATATTGAATTCTTACTATCGAGACGAGGAAAACACCCAATTTTGTTGTGCATGCCATTTTCAAATAAAAAGACATTACAATAAAACATCACTATAGATCGTTTCAGAACACTTCCGAAATTGGCCGAAAACTACGACGTCTATTTTTAGTCATTTTTGGTCTATGACGTCGACTGCTAATAATGGACGTTTATAAGACGTCGTTTCTTAGACCATCTAAAGACGTCATTTTGAAGACGTCTTAAAGTCGTCCAAATAAAGTTTTTTTGTAACATAACTATTTTTACTTCTTAAATGTTGTATAATAAAGTAATAATAAAATAAAAAGCACAAAATTAACTACAATATGTTTGTTTCGCAACTTTATGATTGAAGCGGTGAATTTATGATATAAGTGGATGTAGTTGCGTGTTATTATATTTTTATGATAACAGCTATTTCATATGCAGTGTTATATATAGCTATCAAGAAGATATCATTGCAAGATTTTTGAACACTTTAAAGATGTACCTGTTATAGACAAGTACAGTCAATAAGGAAGCGTCAGGATCAGAAGATTATTGTCACTGTCCACTGGATCATCGAAGTCACGGCCGCAGTACTGTACTAGTATGGGTGACCGCCTTGAGAGAATGGCTATTATATAGGCACACGATATATAAAGAAACAATTAAAAAAGCGTTCTTTTCCCTAGATAAAGAAAATGAATGTTTTTTTTTATAAACGTTTATCCAGTGGACATTTTAATATTTTAATTTCATAAAGAACATTTTTAGAAACTGGTATGTCGTACATTAATCCTTTTTTTGCCGTCAAAAACGCGCATTCAAATGAGTAATTAACGCAAATTGAGCATTCAATTTATAAATGACAGGTTTTATAAAATATTTAAATGAGTAGCTTCTGACTTATTATGAAACATTTTATTTAAATTTTTAAATTTTAAATAAATTAAATTTTAAATAAATGACATTTATCATCAAAAATAAAGATATTCTCTAAATAAAAATGTTCTTTTCTTCTGTGATAGCTGTACTAGAATGTGCTCACAGCAATGCTTAAAAGCTGGGCACAAAAATTCTCTATTAATTTTTAACGACGTCAGTTTCTCAGTTATTTTTTAATACTCGATGTAACGATTTTTATAATTTCAATAACCAAGGTTTTTTTACATTGATGAAGGCCATATTCAAGGCCGAAACGTCTGTATTGCTTATTAATTTGTTTATAATATAATAATTTAGCAATAACACCTAGCTTGTTCGCCAGCCCTCTTATTGAATATTGCTTTATAATAATTAATTTTTCTACGAAATGTGCGATAATAACCTACCCCTTTCTTTCACTCATTTATTTGTAAATTATTAAGTTACATATGTGCATATTTTTCTTTCCTTATTATTTGCATTTTTTCTTGCATTATTTCATTCTGCAGGTGAGCAATATATCATTTCCCATAAGAACCTATGCTAAAAAGTACAATTTTTGGAGTCAATTTTTTTCAAAACGTGACTATGAAAAATTTCCCAAAAATTCACATAATTCTATTTTGCATTCCAGAACAATATATTAAAATTTCATGAAGCTGGCTGCATTTTTTTGTAGCACCTGAATCTCCTTAAGTCCTTAATATACTACCAACGTTATTTCTAAGTCCAAATTACAAAAGGAATTTTAAAAAACGTTTAAAAAACGTTTAAAAAATACATGTATAATGTCAATATTTCTAAACGTTAACTTAATGTTTCTTGCTTACTGTTACTACGTTTACGCGAGCGTTACTTCTGTAGTAACTTTTACGATAATTCCTTCGCTTAACAAAATTTTCCTTCGCGTAAATGGGATTTTGATAGTAACTTACGATAATTTACTCCGCGTAAACGAGTGAATTATCGTAAGTTACTACAGAAGTATAACGCTCGCGTAAACGTAGTATGAGTTGATTGGCTACAAAACAGAAAATTTCTAGAGACTCAAGAACTTTTCTGTCTTATGTAAATTAACTAGCTTTTCGGCCCGCGCTTTGCGCGGGTATAAATCTATCTGTATATTAATTATATATGCTTTAAATTTACCCATTAATTTAAAACACTAAATTTGTTATTTTTTCTTCTTAAACTGTAATCTACATCTTCGTTTTTTTTAGATTCAACCTTTATTTTACTCTCAGTTTAATACTAATTTTTAATTTAAATACATTTTTTTTTTATTTTTTAAAAGTTTTAATTTTTCATCGTGAATTTTTTAATATCCGTAAATTTTGAGATATGGGTTTTTTTTTTTTTTTTCGTTGGAGGAGGAAAATGCCTAATGCATACCCTAGGGCCGGTCCCTAGGGTTATGCCGGACTTGCACCGGCTAAAAACCTCCCCTGGCCCCCACCCTCGATATAAATAGCAGCTTTGTTACAAAATTTCTCGATATACAACATTTTTTGTAAAAGATTTTGAATTTCCCTCAATAAGTTGTCCTTGATTGCTGTTTTCATCGATCTTAATTTTGACATTATCTGTACACTTTATAGCAATCCCGGGGAAATTCTACCTTTATTTCATATGTAATTCTTTAAGATTCAATTATTTCCCGAGAAATTGGAAAAATTTTGTAACCAATTTCCAAAAAGATTGGTAACAAAAAATAATACACTTTATAGCACTCCCCAGAAAATTCTACCTCTACTTCATATACAATTGTTTGAAATTCGGTCAATTAATTTCCGAAAAATTTGAAAATTTTCTGATACCGATTTCCCCAAAGATCGGTAACAAAAAATTATATATTTTATGACAATCTCCGGGAAATTCTACCCCTACTTCATATAATTTTTTAAGATTCGGTCAATTAATTTCCGAAAAATTGGAAAAATTTTGTAACCGGTTTCCAAAAAGATCGGTAACGAAAATTTATACACTTTATAGCACTCCCCGGAAAATTCTACCTCTGTTTCATATATAATTCTTTTAAATTCGGTCGATTATTTCCCGAAAAATTAGAAAAATTAGAAAAATCGGTTTCCAGAAAATCGGTAACGAAAAACTATACACTTTATGGCACTCCCCGGGAAATTCTACCCCTATTTCATGTACCCTTGATAAAAATTCGGTCCACTAACGAATGAGTAGTTCGCGGTCAGACAGACAGACAGACAGACAGACAGACAGACAGACAGACGTCCGGTACTTATATATATAGATTAAGGACGTTCTCTCGTCCTTATACTAGAGAATATCGATTTTCTTAGGATTTTCTTGAAACTGTGAATATACGTTAATTTAGGTGTGCTTTATGCGTGGTATAAATTTCAGTACCTCTTCCGGTATAAAAAATCAAGATACTGAGCCTCAAAGTTTCAACTTTTACTAATGAAAAGGTTTTCCAGGCCAAACGGTAAGAGATACGAGGTTAGCCAAGAGGACCAAAGTTGCTCCTCTCGTCGAGTTCTATAAGGAAAAAATGCCAAAACTAAAAAAAAATTAAATTTAAAAATTTATTTTGAAACTTTGAGGCTCAGTATCTTTATTTTTTATACCGGAAGAGGTACTGAAATTCATACCACGCATAAAGCACACCTAAATTAACGTATATTCACAGTTTCAAGAAAATCCTAAGAAAATCGATTTTCTCTAGTATAAGGACGAGAGAACGTCCTTAACATGCTTGAACAATTTATTGCACGACAAATGAATAGCACCCTAATATCGTAAAATTGCGTTACCTTACTCAACCCAAGTAATATATAAAAATTAATACAAAATTAAACATTTATTTTAAAAAATAAGAATTAAAAATTAATACAAAATTAAACAAATTTAAAAATTTTCAGTTACAAATACACGGCGTTGCTAAACAAAATAAATAGTAAAAGTACTTTAAAGCCTTTAAAGTCATGTGTAAAAGTATTTTATTACATTCCCTGTTTAAAATAATAGATACAATATGATCAGATTACATTATATTACATTCAATTTCAATGTAAATTAATAAGGTTTTTATTCATTTACATTGAAATTGAATGTAATATAATATGTAATCTGATCATATTGTATCTATTATTTTAAACAGGGTTTACAATGTAACTATTAATTTAATATTTTTAATCAATTGGTTATTTATTGTTTTCAGATATTTAAAAATTAAGCAGCGCCAAAAATATTTGGAAATGAATATCGAGTGGTGGGAGTACGGGCGTTTCAGTATTGGACCGGTATATACCAGTATATACTCGCGCCACTCGCGGCACTCGCGTAGCGCTACATCAGTGAAGTGTCAGTGAGTTATATATGATCCTGATGAGAGATGTTATGAAAGATCCTGATTTACTGACAGATATTCCAAAGCTGTCGAATGACTCGCCCGAGATGGATCTCAGCGTTCATCCGGAGAGACAAAGATTTCCTTTCTGCATCGTTTGGACCCCGTTGCCTATCCTAACGTAAGTCGTTCTCGATTAAATGCATTCTGACCATAACCTCATCTCTGATTCTTATTTGCATCATCCGATATTCGTTAAACTGATAGTACTTATTGTTTATTGTATGTACGTTGACAGCTATCGTAAAATGTAAAAATAATTCGTGAAATGTACGAACTTCTCTCTCAAGTCAAGATTAATCACGCTGAATAAAGTTATGCAGTTTATATAATTAATATAAACATTCAATTTTTAAGATACATTCTGCCTTTTATTGGACACATGGGCATCGCGACGTCAGCCGGAGTAATAAGGGACTTTGCTGGCCATTACCATGTTTCTGAAGACAACATGGCATTTGGTAAACCTACCAAATATTGGCAATTGGATTATACCAAAGCCAAGGGAGGCATACAAGGATGGGATGCCGGCGTAGCAGAAGCTAGCGAAATTTACAAAGCTAGAATGGTAACAAAGCATAAATTTAGAGAATAGGAAGCTTTTATTTGACAATTGCGGTTCAAAACTGATTTTTTACAGCACAATTTATGCTGCGACAATTGTCACTCGCATGTGGCAACAGCTTTGAACTTGATGTCGTATGGCGACTCGAGCAGTTGGAACATGGTAAAACTTGCGTTGCTCATGTTACTTCACGGAAAGTATGTCAGGTAAAAACAAAATATATGTAGAAAAAGTAATTATATATGCAATTTTTTCCAATTGTCAATAATACTTATCACGTTCGTTTCAGTATTCTGGGCTTTCTTAAGACCTGGTTGCCGTTCTGCATACTTGTCACAATTATACTAGTGTTAACTTTATGTTTACATTAATTACATATATATTTATACTGGGCTGTCTCTTCTTGCCGAACCACGTGGACGCATACTGTGCGAATCTTTATTAATTAATTCTTCATTAATTATTAAGAAACTTGTATAACAGTAAAGTTTTTTATTCAGTTCAATTCGCTCTACCTACATACGAAAGATGGCACGGTAATTATCAGATAGCCTGTATATACATATATAAATTTAAAAAAAACTATATATATATATATATATATATATATATATATATACATACATATATACATACATATATATACAGGGTGTCCCATGACTCGAAGTCCGTATATTAAAGGCGTTGTTGAAGTCATTTAGAGTTGAAATTGTTTAATAAACATGTCCGTAAATGTTTTTTAACAGAACTACAACCATTGAAAGTTGATGTGACTATTTGAAACATTTGGCAAGATTTTGCACTGAATCTGCAGGAGATAATTTTGAACAGAATTTGTAATACATTTGTAAACAAACAAGTTAAATTAAATGTCTTTTCTTTCCTTTTTCAAATATGTACATCAACTTTCAACGTTCTGTTAGGAAGCATTTACGGACATATGTTTATTAAACAATTCCAACTCTAAATGACTTCAATAATACATCCTTAATGTATAAACTTCGAGCTCGAGTCATGGGACACTCTATATATGTATGTACATACATATATATAAAATTATATATAAAATGTCAATTTACAATTATAGATTTAATGTCAATTTATAATTATACATTTATAATTATATTTATATATAATCGTGATATATCTTGAGATACTCGATGAGAATTTAACAAGTAAGAACATTCTTAATATAGCTTTCTTAAAGTAGTTTTCGGCATTGCACTCTCAAGTACGTCAGTCATAAACCAGAATTTCGTATATACAAAAAAGTTTTGAGGGATGCCAAATTCTATCAGAAAACGCAACATCTATATCCACATTTGTGGATCCACATTTGTGTCAGATATAAATATAATTTATTTTGTTTAATTTTTACAACTTAAAATACACATATATATTGACTATATAAGCGTTATGTAACGATAAAATTAAGTCTAAGATATATGGCTTCTCCATAACATTATATTATGTATGCATATATATGTGTACGCCTAAAGAAAGTAATTATTTTTATCTATTATTTTACATTTTATTTATATACAGCTGTATAATCAATACAACCGTTTTCTTCTTAACATGAGACATAAAACGTCGAGCATGTGCTTTAATTACGTGTGTAGCATCATGGCAATAGTGGCAATGAATCTATCTCCTTAAGCAACTTAAATATATAAAAAATATATCGTAAATATTTCTTTTATACCGATTGATTCCTACAAATTAATTTTCTTCTCAAAAGTTTAGTGTTCATTTATTAATACACCCATTTTTGGAACTACTTAAAATGTCACGTTTTTATTCGTTCTTATATAAAAGATAGGAACGTTTTAAAAAGGTGTGATGTGTGTAGAGTATCAAGAATCAAACTTAACGCTTATTACAGCGTTATGTCGCAATGTTCGCCTGTTAAAAAAGTGACTTTATTATATGTTCGTATAATTAGAAAATACATACGTATGTACCTAAGTTTGATTCTTTAATTCGTAAAATTTACAATCTCATTACACGTAACAACAATCTGAGGGTTTTCAAGTTAATCGTTAGTTCTGCTATCCATTTCTGTAATAACTCCCGTTTCAAGAGAGAAGTCGTAATCATAATTTTGATTCTCTAATCTTTCAACGAAAGACATTATTTCGCTAATCCGTAGACCGTCTATCTCCAAGTCGTTGTTCATGTTACTTTGCAACTGTTTGCATAACTTAAATGGTACACCGCTTAGATAATGCGGAGCGTTATCCATTTGCTGAGCTAGTTTGGGTAAATTACCAGCCGACATTGCGGGATTCATTGGTGTTCCACCGATGAACGGGTATAACCCACTGGGGTAAGGAGTACCGTGTTCACCAGTACTGTGTTCAACATTAGGTGGCAGAGAGGTTCGTCTTCTTTCAATTACTATGAAATCGTCCCCTGGATCTGCGGGAGGCCGTTCCTCTTGTTCATCCCTGGATTCTGGAGGTGAATCCTTGTGCTTCTTTTTGCCAAAGAGCCAAGACATCTTCTGCAAAATATTGTTACCTAAAAATTTGTCCGGATTCTTCGTCGTAAACATAGATAAATCACAGTAAATCTTAAACACGCTTAAAAACAGGCATATCTATCCGTAAATAACATAGTGCAAAAGCCAGACTAAAAAAAAACGAACTATAACAATAGATGAAAATTAAAAATCATCCTTATAACAACTGAAGCAAGTGCAATATAGATTAACCTATTAGGAAAAAAAAACAGAAACGCCAACACAGAAAACATTTTGTTTACAAAAGTAACAATGGGAGCTTTCCAGCAAGTGACACAAGCCGACACAAACGTCGTTCTATCTTTCTTTTTTGGCAGTGAGTAACAAAGACAAAACGATACCTGTGTCGACTTGTGTCGCTTGCTGGAAAGCTCCCAAAATGTCTGTAAAAGTCTTTTAACTTTTGCAGACGAAATGTCTTTTCTCAACTCTAACCTCTGGCCCAAAAGAGCGAGAAAGTAAGATATTGCTTTATATACAAAAATTGTTCAGTCGTCGAAAGATTAAACAAGCTCGAGCTGTCGGCACAGAAATAAACAAAGTTACGGGTCATAATAAGATCGTGCGCAAGGGAAAATCACAGGATTTACTCACGTGCAGGCAGGTTAAAAACTAAAGAAAAGAGGACCTATGGCACACACTCAACGAACAGCCTGTGCTACAAACTGACCATCCTGCTATCGCTTTTGTCAGTCTCTTCTTTGAGATTGATAAGTCGACGCTCAAAAGGAGCTGTGGACACAAAAGCTAGACTTTCGTTCGTACTCCGGAGTCCGGCGTCAGAAGTCAGAACCGCGATGTGCGGAATGATGCGCGGGCGCGGAGTAACACAAAGTCACTTATCGAAGTAACAAGCTTGCCTGTCACCTCGCCAGATGTCAATAAGTCAGTTCGTGTTTTTTAGCAGCACTATCCGCACTCAAATAAAATAAGTATATGCATATTCATATTAGATGCATATTGTTTCCTTGAGAGAAAGAGACAAGTGTAGAAAGTGTAAGTGACTATATAAGAATAATATATAGATCTAACGACAGACGAGAATGACGCGGTGACGTCATCGTGAATTTCAAATACGCGATCGAATCGAACAATCGCAGCTGCGGCGACGCCAATTATTTTTCCTCTTTATCTCAGATATAGTTATATCATCGCGTTTGGACATTATTGATCGTATCTATATATATATATATGTATAAGCACTTAGGTAACGCAGTGTATTCTATAAATATACTTTTGAGAGACTCATTTTTATAAAACCATCTCTCTCCCTCTTTATCAATCTTTGCAACAAAAGCCGCGGAATTATCGCAGCTGCGTTTCATGTACAGTATTGTACAGCATTACAGTTTACCATAATTGCAATTATGTAAAGTGTTTCTTTCTTTAAATTTATTCATAGAACTGATATCATATCTTAATAAATGCCCGAGGAAATATTTTTTATAGGTATATAAGATTATGGCTGCGGTCCACTTGACGCTATAAATGCTTTGAAGCGTTCTTCTTCTCCTTTTTTCTTCATTGAAAGAAAGGAGAAAAAGAATGCTTCGAAGCATTTGTAGCATCAAGTGGACCGCAGCCTGAATCATCTACATATGATATTTTCTCTCTCTCATATATATAATCTCTATTATATATAGAATAATTTAAGAATAATTGAAAAATAATTAGAAAAATAATTTTTGCATTTTTTTTTTACAAAATTGTGATTAAATTATACAACATTCTGTTATAGGTTTTTTCTCATTTCCACAAACTTTACTTTTTTGTAAAAAAAAATGCGAAAATTATCCTTTTAATTATTTTTAAAATTCTTCTTACTATTATTTTTCATATATACGAGCAAAGATTATATATGAGAGAAAGGAAACATATATAGATACATTTTAGACATAATTATATGTGAAAAATACTTTCTCAGATGTCAATGAAAAAATTTATATGTTTCGAAGCATCGTAGTTTTTTGTTGATTAAAACAATTTTAATATATTTTTACAGTTTTGCAATACATTAGATAAAATTGGTTTTTTCTACAAGAATTTTATATAAAGAACTTTGCTACTTTATTTTAATATTTGTAATATATGAAGCTTTTACAGAATTATATCAATTCTACTGATTGTATTTGTGCAGTGCAATACTATTTAGGAGGCATCATTTTTCAATTATCACGAACTTGAAAATTGTTTTCATGTTTCGTATTCAGAGTACTTTGAATTTACTATTTGTCTTTTTACTATTTATAGCTTTTTAAAGGTAATAATTGATTTCGTGTTTTTTATATTCACTACTTAAAATTGTGATCGAACAATTACAATTAGAACATCTAATTTAGTATTAAAAAAATAATTACTACGTAATGTGTATTGAATATAAGCGAAATATATAATGATTCTAGGAGGTGACGAGCTGAGTTCGAATTTTAGCCAATGCATATAATAATTATTAATGCGCTATTTAAATAATTACAAAACAATAGAGTTATTCAATTGCTGTCATATCGATCTGCCATTAAATTGTATTCGACAAATCTATTCAAACTTTGCTACTAGTTATGTTTTTAAATTACACCGATATATTTAAACGCATCAATATTTATCAAAATTCATGCCAAAATGAAAAATGCCGTTGTATCACATTGCTAACATATATTTTATGTGCCGATTCCCGACGAAATTTATTATTAGACTACATATAACGCTCACAGAATTCGCTGCTTGTACAAACTACCGCTAGATGTTAGCACTGCCTCGAATTGCTCGCGTGTCGACGCGGAAAGCAGCGAAAACTTTGAAGACGCGATATCATCGAAGATTCATCGCTCACAGATTTCAAATCTCGCGATTATCGAGTAAACTGACAAGTTAAAAGAGAATTAAGAAACGACGACGTTCCATTTTTGATCATCCGATTAACTCTGTATTTTCACGTACCTATAACGTACATTTACTCCGGCGTCTCGCGAGTGCGTGTAAAATGTTACGCTTCCCTGAAAATCGCGTTAATTGCGTTCAACTATGTCGGCCTGGCGGGGCGTTTATTATTCATACACATTTGCATTAATTTTTTTCATTCCGGCTGCGATATCTCCCGAGGAGGGCGCGACAAGGTCTCTTTCGCGAGGCGAGCGACGCGGCTTCCATGCGTTCCATGCACCGAGCGATCTCAATGGTATCCCGTGCGACGGGCGCCGAAGACTCGCGAGCGCTCACGAGCACCGACGGGCTTGGCCGAGCGCCGGCGAAACGTGCCGACCGGCCACGCGCCGCGCGCGTAGGTCGCGGGTTGCGGCTGATCGGGACACACTCGGCACGGAACGGGATTCGTGCGCGATATCTTGTTTTGCGGGAGACGCGGAGATCCGACGGCGCGTCCGCTTCCCTCCTGCGCGCCTCTTCGTCCACTCGGCGACTCGCGGGGAAGAGGGGCGATCGCCGTCGCTGCTAGCACTTGCCGCCGTTCGGCGCGTTTTCGGCGGATGGACGGCGGCAGTGGCGGCACGCATGCGTGCTTTTACCACAACATATATGCTACTGTGCGCGCGTATGTGTGCGCGCTCGCTTTCGTGTCGCGCGCGGCCGGTCGCGTAGTTCGGCAAGGCGCGTCGAGGTAGCGGCGCGATCGCATTGTTTTTGTGTTCTCTCCTCGCGGTGTCCATCGCGCACGCACGTACGCACGCACGCACGCATCGCGATCCGAAACGCACCGCGCGAGTGAGCCCACGTATCCGGTTGCGTCGCCGAGTTCCTTTCGCGGCCCTCGTTCTCGCGCCCCTCCGCCACCGCGGCCGGTGGCCCACCGGCCCTTCGGGACCGAGCACCATCCCCGCGAAGGACGACGGCACCGCGCAACATAGGTGTGGCGAGTAAGTACGATCCGTCTCTCGTTATTTACGTATGTATGTGCGCGTCACGCGCATCTGCCTGTATACCATGTGTACGGTATCAATGAGTGCTCAACACTCGAGAGCTCTTTTGCAAGTTGACGAATCCTCCGAGTTTGCGGCTCGCTCGAATTCGCAAGCGTCGAACGCGCGTCTCAGCGTCGCGTCGCGGAGTAAAGATTGTCGGTGCGTCGCGACGTTTAAAATCTCGACGGCATAATTTTACACGCGCGGCGTTCCGCGAAAGACGAGAATGTGGTTGGATGATCCGTGGAACATTTTAAACATTTATTTTCGAACGCGGCACTACGTACGTCAAGTCGGTACGAGATTTAAATCCCTTGGTTGTAAGAAGCTCCGTTCCCCGAATTGCGCGTGATCGTGTTGAAATAATATTCGTCCGGAAGGACGATTGTGCAAGGGTCGGTCGGGCACGGTCGCGCGTAAAATTGCGTTGTTATGAGAGAGAGAGTCTCGTTTCATCGATATTTACTGTGACGTGTTATTCTTCCGCTCGCTCCTCGAGATTATCTCTCGCAAGTCGTCTGTGAAGCACCTGACCTGACTTTTCGCGGACGATGTTGTACGTGGTAAACAAAAGCGTTGCGCTATGGGGTTCATCGGGTCAGTGATTATGATTTTGAAAGGTTCAGGTTTCGGGGATCAAAATAGCATTTACGAAAATAAGGTGATCTTCCTATTAACTAACAATTTTAACTGATGTATCATCTATTAGAGCAAGATTAAATATATATTGCGTGGTAAATAAATTTTTGTGCTATATATCTATTGGTGGGATGAAAAGTGTAGTATATCTGTCATAAAAAGTGTAACTTATTTATGAAATTAAAAATTTAATTGTCACTTATTATTATTGTTTAAATTTTAATGTAATAGAGCAAAATCGATTTAAACATATGAAATGCGGGGTATTTTTTGTTTTACAAATTGGAATCAACATAAATTATATTGTATATTTACAAGGATAGAAAGAATTAATTAACCTGGTGTTGCTAGTAGAAATTTTATTCGACATTAGTCTCTGATGAGATCTGAAAAAAACTTGGCAGTTTTACAAAAAAAAATAATAATAATACAAATATTGAACTTGTACCGCTACTTTTTTAACTTTATCTTTTATTTATTTAAAAAATTTATCATCTTTAATATACTATCTAACTATCTTATTAATCTATTGCTTTGAAAAATTTTGTTTATAATGTCGTGTAAATCTAGCGAGATCTATGATATTCAGTAGACAAAACAAATTCGAAATTTGAGACGAACAATCGTAAGGAATAAAAAAAAATAAATATAAAAGAGTAAAAGAAAAGCGAAAAAATATAGATGGATTTATATCTTGTTTTGCAAAGTCAATTTGAATAATGTTATTACTTTAGCGGGGTCTATGGCACCCAAAGGAGAAACATCGAGTTTTATATTCGAAAGCGATTACTGAACTGTTCTACACAGTTGTGGTCTTTGGTAAACGGAGAGAAGACGCACGAGATGATTGCTTGCTATCTTACCGTCAGAAAAAAAAGAAATGTATACATAATTTAAAGTAAAGGAAGTGATAGTCGGTTTTGAATCTTATACTAGACCGATAAATTTAAAATGGCTTACAAAATTTGGGAGAACGTTCATCTATAAATTACTAGTGTTTGTGATATGCAACACTTACTAAATGTATATTTATGTAGAATATACATATTTATGTAACTTTGTGCGTTTTACATATACCTCTATTACACATTCTCGTTTCTACGTGTTCACGTTGTGTGTACTTTACGAGGCAACACGATACAGGTAGTACGCAAATTCACGTTGCGTGTTAGAGTCCGACCGAAGCGGTTTTTTTTAATTTCAGCCGAAACCGAAAACAAATATTTGGTTGTGTGTGTTGTGTGTCATTTTCGGCCGAAACCGAAACTGAAAATCGAAACATGGGAATCCTAGAATGGTTATATGTAACAGTGCACGTGGTATTCCGCGCGCGCACATAGGTATATACTAATAC